TATGACAAAGTTGACCTTGTTACACAGCCTCGTAACCTCAGGACTCCAGTCACGGACACTCAGGTGACAAGACCCCAGGCTTAAGTGCTTACCTGCCCCCAGTCTGTTCTGGTAGGACTGTAGCAGTCGGTCCTAGGGGGGACCGGCAGCCTTGGCCACTCACGCAGGGGCCGCAGCTACAGGCTCTACGTGGGGCAGCTGGGGGACTCAGTCTGCTGGGAGACCAACTCCTGGTCATGATTTCGGGGTCCCAAGGTCGAGCCCCGGGTCGGGCTCTGCGCTCTGCGGGGCATCTGCTTGAGATTTTCTCTCCCTCTCCCTGTGCCCCCCGCCCTCTAGTCACCCTCTAAAAGGAGCATGCGGCACTTGGAAAGCCCGCCGAACAGGGGCCAGTCAGCCCTTCCTATTAACAGTGTTTTCAGGGATCTGCGCTGTTATCTGGTTTTTTTTTGGTTTTTAATTTAAGCTCTCAATTTCCACTGTATCGCCGCAGGTTTTCTGGTTGGCCCTACTTTCCCCCCAGATTGTCTCCCTTTAAATCCAACCCCAACATCGCCAGTCAGTATCTTCCGAGCTCCGACGGGGGCGCAACCCAACAGTAGAACCTGCAGAGGGGTGAGCGTGCGTACACCCCACACTTTGTGTGGCTCGGGAACCGCAAACTACGTGACAACGGGGCGATTTGGGAGGACTGACTCAGCGTGTAGTGCTGTCCGCATCTCACACCCCATCACCCACTGGGGACACACAGAACTCCTTAGAAAGTAATTTCAAGTTTCCACCCATGAGGATTTGGTAAAGCAGAACACGTCTTCAGAAGTTAAAATTAAAAACATGGCTGTCTGCCGGCGCCTGGTGGCTCTGAGGGCTGAGCACTCAACTTGGTTTCAGCTCAGGTCACGGTCTCAGGGTCCTGGGATGGAGCCCTGCGCTAGTCTCCGTGCTTAGCAGGGAGTCTGCTTCAGATTCTGTCTGCCCCTCCCCCTTGGCGTTCTCTAAAATAAATCAATCTTAAAAAAAAAAAAAAAAATTCAAAACAGGTGCCTGGGTGGCTCAGTTGGTTAAGCGTCTGCCTTCAGCTCTTGTCTTCATCCCGGGGACTTGGGGTAGAGCCTGGGGCAGGGCTTCCTGCTCAGCGGGGAGCCTGCTTCTCCCTCCGCCCCTCTCCCTCCTCCTGATCTGATAAAATCTTAAAAAAAAAAAAAAAAAAAAAAAAAGGCTACTTCAGTAGCACACGGAGGTGAAAGAGCATGGCGGTTCCAAGCATTTGGGAATAAATTCCCCTTTTCTTGCTAACTCCACTCTGAGGTGCACAGCGAGGGGCTGGTCACAGAAACCCGACCGGACCCGGTCGTCAGCCGACACTTCAGCCCCACACACGACGGGTTCCTAGCAATTGTCAGAAGTGGTGTAGCTGCCTGGCAAAGAAACGCCCAGAATAAAAAGTGAACAATGATCCCAAAACAGTACTGTAGCATAATCCTGCTTTTTGGGGAAATGGCCTCAAAGCGTAGGTGACCGAACGTCCTCAACAGTTTCCTCTCGACGGGAAGGAGATGTGGTGAGTCTGTGTTTTAACTGTCCAAATCCGTCCACTTTCAATGTAACTTTTTTCACTTTCGGGGAGAGCGTGGTCAGACCGGTCAGGAAATGAGAAGCAGAAAGTCAAGGTTACTCACCCAAACCTGCCCAGCAGCTCCCCCCGCCGGGCTGGCTTCGGAGCTGGGACTCAAGGGTGTTCCTCCCAGCGGTGTGGTTTCCCAGCTACCGGGCGCGCCGCATTCGTGTGTAACTGCACGGGCAGCGCGGCTCGCGGGCCGCCCCACGTCCAGGAAGCTTGGCTCGCCACCCTCCTAAAGGGCAAACCTGCGGACGGCAGCCAGGACGTGCGGCCGGCCTCAGTGTGCACTGGCCGGTGAAAGGATGAGGAAAACAACGTGTATGCGGACAGGGAATATTACTCAGCCTCCAAAAGGGAAATCCTACCGCGGACGTGGATGAGGGTGGCGAAGGACACTGCTCAGTGAAATAAGCCAGACGGACGAGCAGCCCGTGGCGGTAGCTCTACATGGGGTCGAAGCACGTCCAACTCCAAGAAGCAGAGGGGGTGCCCGCTGCGGGGAACGGGGAGGAGCCGGTCACAGGGCACAGTCTCGGCTGTGCACAAGAACAGGCTCTGGAGACCAGACGCAGAGCATGGCGACTCCTGTTACTACAGCCACGTGTGCTCGGGTGTGCGGAGAACGGATCAGCAATGTTCTTACTGCACACAGACAACAGAGGCGGACACGGCGGACATCGTGTTGCACGCCGTCAACATAAACTGGGGTTGCCCATCACTTCCAAGACGGGAGGAAAAGGAACCATTTCATGATGGTGCCTGGCTCATTTGTTTCTGCTGTGCATTTGTTGGACATGTGGCTGCGTAACCGTGTCAGCCTCCCCTTCCCTGCAATACTGTGCCACAGAGAGGCCCTCCACAAACCAGCGCAGGATGTCCACGGGTCCCTGGGCGCCAGCGCCTGCTCCCGGAACAAGTTTTAACATGCTCCTGGCCCTTGAGGCGCACTGACCCATTGTGCACTGAACACTGGTTCTGCCCCCTGCCTGCCACACCCCAGGGCTCTGCTCCCTTCACCTCAAACCCTTCTCTCCTTCACCCCCTCCCAGATGGACATGATTTCTGCTTCCCAAGCTGCCCAGTTCTGCAGATCAGCTTCCTACAGTCCTAGCGCTACTTCCTGCAACTCCTGAACCGCCCATCTCCCCATGGGGACCGAGCACCCCCGAGCACGCGGCTCAGGATGTAAGCAATCCTCTACCCACATCATAAAACACTTACCTGCCATGGTTTTCTTCTCTGCTTCTCAGAGGAGGGCGACTGAAAACCCACCAAGTCCAAGGTTCCCCTTCCACCTCCTGTGGCTGAACAGAGCACCACAGACCCTACCATTCTAATTCTGTGGATCCCACCGGGCAACCTTCCTCACTGTGCACGCAAGGAACCTACAGCCCAACATGGTGAACGGGGTCACCAGACACCTGAAGTTGGTCCCGCGTGCACAACCAGCAAGTCAAACGGAACTCGAGCCACAAGCTCACCTCATTTCCTCAGACTGAGGTTTTCACAGAAGCCAGAAATTGAGTTAGCTTCAGTTACACATGCACTTCTGAGCCAAAAAATCAGTTCTTTGGAAGTTTCATTTACTTTTGCAAACCGCTGCCCTTCCCCAGATGTGCTGCTAGGACAGAAAACCCGCTCTGCACACTTCAGTGGGGTCAGAACCCCATCGGACTTTGCGGACAGCCTACCCTTCCTGCATCCTACCGGCCCTTCACACTGTGACAGGTCACTGAGCAGGACAAACACCGTCCAAGGGAACCACTGCCCCACACTCAATGTGTGAGCCACCCATGCTCGTTCCTATGGCCACTGCTCTAACAGACCCTTACTCGTCTGCATTAACTCGAGGGCACAGGCTTCCAACACAAGGCTTCCCCTTAACCCATCAGATTTGAAAAAACTGAGAGAAAACATCCCCCCGCCGTGTCTAACCTGCATAGAAATGTACCCTCACAGGGAGGTGATGCATGCTCACGATTCATTATTTCCCAGAATACTACAGAGGATCCAGAAAATCCAGACAAAAAGAAACAATATATTTTGCAGCAAATTTTCAGTAAGACTTGCAAATTCTCTCCCACCCCAAATTAAACAGGTAAGTGAAGCAGCTTCCACGTTTAATGGTTACATTCTAGATTCTGAGTAGTCACGTCACGCTTGCATTCCACACAGGTCACAAACACATATGCCTTCTATTACGTATCTGAAAAAGGTTTCATCCCAACTATGGGAAGACCCTTTTCAAGTCCCAGACTTACTCTGGTTTTGAACAGAATATAGTGTAGCATGTAGAGCAATTCAAATCTGTGAGTAAATCTATGGATACATTTACTGAGTATTGAAATTTATTCAATTCTATCCTCTGTATTTCATTTTTTCCATATATTTAAGCAATCCCTACCTTCTTTGTAGGTAGAAAAGTAATCATTTAAGGAGAAAGGGACTTGTAAGAACTTTGGTAAGCTGAACTACAGCAGTGCTTGTATCAGCGAGACAGTTAAGGCTGACGCCCAGCTGCTACAGAGCATAGCATCGACGGGGTCAAACTCAAGCAAGACAGACCCAACTCATTTTTAAATGTGGAAATCATACAGACTTAAACGGCTTCATCCGATGAAGCTTCTGCAGTGTTTCACGTTTACGGAGAAACCATTCTAAGGTCTACTTTTCTGTTTAGAACGTATTTAGTCTGTGCTGCTGAACTGGCCACAAGAATCCTTCAGAAAAAAGCATCAAAACTGTGAGGTGTCCAACTTAATCTTCGGCATCCTTAAAGCTTGGGAATACTTGAAAACAGCAGGTAAACGTGGAACATCATTCCAGAATACCAATTTTACACTGAACATGTAACATTAAAACAAAAGCAAATAAATGAATACCTTACACTCATTTTTAACAAGTATTTCATATTTGAGACGTCTGTCACATTCCTGCCATCATCTGTATGGTTTAACTGGACTGTGAAATCTCTACGTAAGAGCATGGTTACTTCTGCCACGAATTAACCACAACTCTAATTCTTAAAATGCCTAGCAAAAGTCTAAAAACACACACTGACTTGTCCTGACAGATCACTGAAGTCACAAGCTCTTCCCCAGGTGACAGCGCCTAGTCAACTGGCAGGTGGTAGGAGACATTTCAGCGTAACTGCACTGAGGACGCTCACACCTCATCAACAACTTACCAAACAGAATACTGCGGACACCAGCCTATCACCTTCGTGAGAGGATTCAAATGTACAAGACAAGACATAAAAGTTTTGCTTGCCAGCTTCCAATTAAGTGAGAATAGCAAAGGCATTTAAACAGTAACATGGCACAACTTTCCCTGTTAGTGGTTTTAAAATTCTTACCAAACAAGGGAGGAGTTCACTTGCTTAGATATTTGAAATACAACTTTATTCTGATTCTAAACGAAAAGGAATGGGAAGGACAGTGACAAACGAGATTTCACCACTGGATATCGTGACGGGACTATAGCAGTCTCATATCTGAAACTCAGGAAGGAAACAACTGCGTTCCAAAACAGCTAAATATGCAGGTCCAAAAAATGAAGGTACTTTTTAAACTGCCACATTCACTCCGAAGCCCATTCATCTCCTTCAGCATCCCAAAGATTAAGCACATGTTCTGCTCAGCTATATAATAAAGTGGCAAACACGCTGCACCACTGACATCACAGGACAGTTGCCTATAAAACTAGACTTCTGACGCTGGCCTCCAGCTGCACGTTCTCACAGGTCATCATCCTCATCCGGGAGAGCAGTTGTCTGAGCAACCTAGAAAAAGACACAACGTGGTAGTACTCTGGACTGGAGCCACCAGCAACACAAGACCCCGAAAAGGACCACATGGCTGGACACTTGCACACCCTACCTCTAGATCGTGCTCATACTGTGCTGCCAAAGCTGGGTCCATGACAACCTCTGGCGGGGCGAGAGCGGGCATGGCGACAAACTCCAAGTTAGGGTCTCCAATTAGTTTTCTAGCAAGCCACAGGAAGGGCTTTTCAAAGTTGTAGTTACTTTTGGCAGAAATGTCATAGTACTGTTTAAAAAAAAAGGAAAGTTAGTTTTTAAAAATGTACTTGTCATTAGGATGTTCGAAACTAAAGAAATTCTCTTGATCCACACCACAGATGTTTATGAATCCCTTTAACGGACCTGTTCATTGTAATTTCACTTTTGATACAGCAATAACGCCGTAAACAACAAGTTTTATAAACATACCTGAAGATTCTTCTTTCGGTGGAAGACAATAGATTTTGCCTTAACTTTCCTGTCCTTAATGTCCACTTTGTTGCCACACAGCACAATGGGGATGTTCTCACACACTCGTACCAGATCTCTATGCCAGTTAGGCACATTCTTGTAAGTAACCCTTGACGTGACATCGAACATTATAATGGCACACTGGGCTGAAGAAAAATTCAGAAGGGTTACACACCTAGGATTTCCCGCACACCCAAGGAATGCCAAGGAGATCGGACCAGTCCTCAGGCTATCTCCGTTTCTTAACTCATTCCCAAGGTCTCTTCCAAATCGAAAAATCTTACATCACTGGAATACACAGCAAGATCTGAAATTCCACCACATACGAATGACCAGCTGGCTGCATCCAATCTCTCTCCTGTACTACATTGGTTCTGCCCCATCCCAAAATCTCAAGTAGATGAAGAACACCCCAGCATCCTAGGCAACTTGCCTCCTCCGCTCTGAAGACCTAAGAGCCTATCCTGTAAAAGATCCTACAAGACGGGATACGCTACTCTCTTGCTTGAGAACACTTAGGTCTCCGTTCTGACCCCTGAAAACCGTAAAACAACTCAGTGAACCACGAAGTAAGTACGACCTAACGCTAGTTTTCTAGCTCCACAGTTATCTGTTATTCGCAGGTCAGAAACGGCCAAAGAAAAGGCTCCCAAAAGTTTTCCATCACAGAAGTGAGATTCCAGATTTTTTCTTTATGAAACCTCATTCCCAATTTTGAGATCCTTTTGGGGAAAAAAAACCCAAAACCCCCAACTACTGCTGAAGCGACAGCGACAGCTCGCCGGCCCCCGCGGTCTGCGCTCCGCGGCTCTCCGATCATGACACAGCACCGAGGCCGGCGCGGCCGGCCGCCCGCCCGCCTACCTTGGATGTAGTAGCCGTCCCGCAGGCCGCCGAACTTCTCCTGGCCGGCCGTGTCCCACACGTTGAACTTGATAGGTCCCCTGTTGGTGTGGAACACGAGCGGGTGGACCTCCACGCCCAAGGTGGCTGCAACACAAGCACGGCCGTGAGCCCGGGTCAGCGCCCGCACCCCGACCCCGCTGCCTGGCCCCCCACGTACCTACATACTTCTTCTCGAACTCCCCCGTCAGGTGACGCTTCACGAACGTCGTCTTCCCGGTGCCGCCGTCGCCAACCAGCACCAGCTACGGGACAGCACACGCTGGCCAGGGGCCCCGGCGCCCGCGCGCCTCCCGCGCCGCCACCGCCCGCACCCGCTCCCCGCGGACCCCGCTCCCCGCAGACCCCGCACGCGGCGCCCACCCCCGCCGACCACGTACTTTGAACTGGACTTGGGGCTCTCCCTGGGCAGCCATGGCGCTGGTGCTGCGGAGCGAAGAGAAAGACGTGGGGCCGGCGGCACCGCCCGGGAGCCACATGGCCGGGCCCGCCCCACGTGCCCGGGCCCACAAAGGGGCGCCGGGCGGCCGGGCCCCACGCGCGCACACCCCGGCCGGGGCGGGGGCCGCGGCGCGCTCACGGCGGGCAGCTCTGCTCCGTCCGCGGGGCCTGGCGGCGCGCCCGCGGCGAGGGAGGCCGGGAGGCCGGGGCGCGGGGCGGAGGCCGGGAGGCCGGCGGGGGCCGGGGCCGCACAGCGCCCGATCGCGCACCCCCCCTCCGCCCCGGGCCCGCCGTCCGCCCCGGGGCCGCCCCCCGCCGCCCGCCCCGGGCCCAGCGCGGCTCGCGTCCTGGCGCCGGCCTGCGGCCTCCATCGCGGGGGGAAGGGGAGAGCCCGCCGCCGCCAACCGGGCCCGCGAAACCGCCGCCGCCCCGGCCCCCGCCGACGCCCGCCCCGGCTTCCCAGTCCCCCGGAGTGCCCGGTGCCCCCGGCCCCCACGGCCCCGCGGCCCCGCGGCCCCTGGTCCGACCCCGCCGCACTACCTTCCAGAAGCGTCTCCGGCCCGTCTGACTGAGGGCTGGAAAGATGGCGGAAGCGCAATTCAAATGCCCGGAGACGCAGCCGACGCCGGCGCGCGCCGAGGGAGGGCGGGGCAACGGCGCCGCGGCGTTCCCACGTGGCCCGGCGCGCGCGCGCACGCACGCCGCGGGCTTGGGCGGCCACACCCGTCGGCCAGGCGCGGAGGGAAAGACTCGAGGGCCGGCGGGCGCAGGCGGGCGCGGGACGCAAGGCGGGCGCGGGACGTAGGGCGGGCGCGCGCACGCACGCCGGCCCGCGGGGCCACGTGCACCGGCCCAGAGGGCGGGTTCCCGCGCGCGCATGCGCCGACGGCGACGCGGCGCGCCCTGCTGCGGCCGCGCCACAGAGCTAGGAGGAGAGAGCAAGCACCTTGGGCGGGAAACTCGTGGGGAGCGGCCCACACAAAGACCTTGGGCCTCCCGGGCCGGGGGACTAGTCGAGCGAACGGGGTACAGCGGCACCGGGGCGGGCCCCATTTTGGGGTGCGAGCCACGCCTGCGCCCCCAGCCCCTTCCACATCCCCCTCTCCGGGCCACACACGGCCTCTGCTCTGGGCCCCCAGCCCCTTTAATCTCCTGCCGCAACCCCAGGCCCTTCCTCCCACAGTCTCCTCCCCAAGACCCCCATCCCGCCCACTACCCACCTCCCCTAGGCTCATTACCTTCCCGGTCCTTTGCCTGGGGCCCTAGCCTGGCCCCTTCCGTTCTCGTTCTCGCCGCACCCAGTCCCTTCCTCCCTCACCCCGAGCTCGCTCTACTAGGTCCTCTTGCCTGCGGCACCTATCGTCCCCCAGTCCCAGATCCCTTTAATTCAATGTCCCTTTTCCCCTCTGACCTCGACCCCTGGCCACTTGCCTACGTTCCCAGTCCTACTCCCGCCCCCCCGCGTCCCTGGCGTCAACCGGAACCCACTTGGGGGTAAAGGACGGAAAGACAGATGCTTTTTCCCACCCTGAAGAGCCAACCTCCCTTTTCTTAAAGCATCTAATTGGTCAGCAGGCTTTGCGACCGTATCCTGCAAACAGGATGATGAAATCGTGTTTTCAGACTTGGCAGCTCTTCTCATCCCAGTTACAAACATGGATGCAATCGATGAGTGTTTAGGTTCCAGACTCTGGAGGGATTAAAGCTGTCAACAGTCCAGACGGGACTGCACTCAGAAGCCAATCTGAGGGTCAGTGTAGGTAGAAAATAGAATGAGCCACAAGCTCAAAATGTTGACTGTTATTACCGTCCACTGGCGTTGAGCCAGGATGTGGGCCAGGTGGAATCCTCCAACCTCTAACCCTAAATCTAAGGCCAGTTCTTGGCATTTGTGTGGACAGCCACAGATTCTCCTCTAACCCAGATCTTCTTAGTCCCCTCCGCAACCAAGCATCCACACTCAGAGCAAGAGCAGGCTGCTAATGACCTGGTCAGAATAGTCAGGTTGCTCAGAAAGGATTCCACCATGGGGAACCCATGACCAAGAAGTTAGCCATTTCGTTCTGAGTGTGCTTTGCAGCCAAGCCTGTTGGGAACACAAGTGACGCAAATTGGGCATAACGTTTCTGTGAACCTGCCTGCTGGGAGCTCAAGTCTGAGCACCCCCAGAGGACCCTCAGGAAGACACCAAAGCAGCTCTCTATGCTTCTGGCAGGAGTGCACATTGCTTTGGCCTCTCTGGAGAGCAGAAGCTGATAAAACATCAGTGCCGAGAGCTGGCGAGCCTGTACTTTCACTTCTAGAGAGAGTGCCTGGAGTTAAACTCCCACATTCGCACAGGGAGACAGTATCGCCAGCGCTCACTACAACACAATAGCAACAAAAAATGGAACTTCCAGAAATATCCATTGATAGGCAAATGTATACACATATTAACCTGGATTCTGGTATGGCATCTAAAAGGAAGCAAGTTCATCTGTATCAACAGGGTTAGGTCTCAAAGGGTAATGTTGAGAAAAGAAGGAAGTTCAAGAAAGATGTGATGATAGCTTTATACAGTCCACAGGATATACAATGTTTTATAGAGACGGTATAGGATAATGCCATCTATGGACATTTTTATAGACACAAAACCATATTAAGTCTTAAATGTATGTAGAAAAATTTTTTTAATTGAGTACAATGATATAGGCTGAATTCGGAGGCTGTTGTTCGAGAGGCAGTAGGGAGTGGTATGATGGGAATAGGCAGAATGGTCAAAGAAGGCTATCTGCAAGGTTCCCTTTCTTCTGTTAAAAGAAGGTAATTGATGTGGCGCCTGGGTGGCTCAGTGGGTTAAGCCTCTGCATTCGGCTCAGGTTATGATCTCAGAGTCCTGGGATCAAGTCCTGCATCGGGCTTTCTGCTCAGCAGGGAGCCTGCTTCCCTTTCTCTCTCTCTCTCTCTGCCTGCCTCTCCATCTACTTGTGATCTCTCTCTGTCAAATAAATAATTAAAATCTTAAAAAAAAAAGAGAAGGTAATTGAAGCACATAGGAGAACATATTAGCCGCTGTAAAACTCTAGGATGGTGAGAACACCAGTGTTTCTACCTTTTGGCATTTTTGAAAATACTTCTTCCCGCAAGAAAAGCCAAGGGGAAAGACGTCGAACCAAGGGTATCCTTTGTTCTCACACAGCTTTCCAGGAGCTCCTGGCCGTTTGGTTTCTTTACGTTAGTTGCAGATGGCGTTCCCGGGCCCTGTCCCAGAACTTCCAAAGAGGATCATCTCAAAGAACACAGATTGAAAATAGGAAAACGGGGGCGCCTGGGTGGCTCAGTGGGTTAAGCCGCTGCCTTCGGCTCGGGTCATGATCTCAGGGTCCTGGGATCGAGTCCCGCATCGGGCTCTCTGCTCAGCAAGGAGCCTGCTTCCCTCTCTCTCTCTCTCTCTCTGCCTGCCTCTCTGTCTACTTGTGATCTCTCTCTGTCAAATAAATAAATAAAAATCTTTAAAAAAAAAAAAAAAAAAAAAAAGAAAATAGGAAAACGTACCCTGGTTGGCACAGATAACACATTTCCCCAGTGAGACTGCCCAAGCTCTTCCAGTCACCAGTGGCTTTGCAGGGTACCGGGGTACTTCCTTGTCTTCCCCACCCAGCATGGATCGCAAACCCATGCTTGCCCCGTGATTTCAAACATGGCCATCACGTGCTCGGAGAGGCAACAGAATTACCAAAAGGTTGCAGCAACAGTACAAGGAATTTCAGCTGTTGCCTCTAATTTCCTCAAGCATCAGCACTCCTCATTTCATAGGTCCTCCTCTCCTTCCCTCAGTATCGATCTCACCGTATATATGATTTTAATATATACATAGGATTTTTGTCCTCTGGGATGTTTGAGAGTGAGCAGCAAGCGGGATGTCCCTCGTTCTGTATTTCTTGAAACCAAGGACATTCTATTACGTAACCACTGCTCAGTTGCCCAGATCAGGAAATGAACCCGGCTGCAGTCCGATGGTCTCATCTACAGACCGGAATGCCACGGGTCTCACCGCCGTCCTACAGCTGGTGCGGGATCCGTTCAGGATGACATGTTACCTTCAGCTGTTTGGTCTGTGTAGTTACACTCCTAAATCCAGAGCAGTAACTTCATCTTCCATGACCTTGACGCTTGTGCAGCACACTTTGCAGGACGGGTCTTCTGTGGATTTGTCTGATATTTCCTCTGGATGGGTTTTGGGTTACATAGTTTGGGTTGGGATACCTCAGAAATGGTGATGTCCTTCTCAGTGCATCTTTTTTTTAGGAGTATAAACTGACCTTCATAGAATATTTCAGACCCTCCTTGGGCTGTCTAATATTGTAGTGGTTTGCCAGCTCACTTACATACATGATATCTGTGGCTGGCCAGGCCCCACGTGAGCTAAGTTGTGTCTCCTTTTCCACCCCATCTCCAGCTTCTTTTCCTGTAACTGTGTAGCTACATGAGCCTTTCTGAATCGTACCTCTGCCAAATTTGTCCCTGCCTGAGGGCCTTTGCACTTACTGGTCCCTCTGCCTAAAATGCTTTCCTCGACATTCTTGCCTGACTGCCTCCTTCTCACCCTTCAGATCGCAGCTCAAACGTCACCTCCTCAGGAAAGCCCACCCTGACTGCCCTCTCTACAATGGTGTCACCGTACCAGCCCATTTTCCATCTCAGCCCCCACTTGATTTTCTCCAAAGCACTTACCACTAACTGAATATAGCTTGCTTAATAATTTATATGTTTACCTTTCTGTCTTTCTTTCTCTCACTAGAATAAAGAAAGCACATTGCCTGGCATGATACTCAAGGTATCATGAGTGCCTCGCTCATAATGGGTGCTCAGTAAATACATGTTGAATCATTGAGTGAATTACTCTTAACCCCATCTGAATACAGTAACAGCACCATCATATGCTAATAAAATAACAGTGACTTACATACAGAAGCTTATTAGAATTTTAATATGCTATTTCTCGTCAAAAACTAATCATTAAGCAAATAACAAACATTTAGCAAAAACATTGCCAATCTTTCCTATTTGTGCACTTTCCATCAACTTCCTTGACTTTGCAAACCAATAAGGAAGGAATTCTTCAAGATTCCATGATCTACTTCATCAATCCAGCTGGATATCAATAATTTGTCAAATGAAATATTTCCTTTATTAGACACTCAGTTTTGTACACCGGGAGCATGCTGATGCACAGATTACATGTTTCTCCTTAGCATTAACACAGAAATTATTTTCCCTGACTGCAAAATCAAGAGCCTTGTCATACATTCATGCCAGAGATCCATCCGATCTCCTCCACGCAATGATCAGGCAGTGAATGAACTCAGTCCCACCCTCCGTGGTATTTGTCATCTCCTGGGGTGGATCACCACGTGATTTGTATCTAAACTAGTTTCAGCACTTCAAAATGTGATGGCTTTTATTTTGTTTTTAAGATTTTATTTATTTATTTGACAGAGATCACAATCAGGCAGAGAGGCAGGCAGACAGAGAGAGAGAGAGAGAGGAGGAAGCAGGCTCCCCGCTGAGCAGAGAGCCCGATATGGGGCTCGATCCCAGGACTCTGGGACCATGACCCAAGCTGAAGGCAGAGGCTTTAA